ATATATAAGACACTTAAAATTGGACTTATCTAATATAAGCCACTACACAATTTGGTAGTATGTTATGTAACTACCATCGAAACTAAGTTGAAATTTAGTTATGTGATTAAATAAGTAAAATTAGAGTGAGTAAGAACCTAAGGAAGATTTATAAATCTAGAAAGATATGACGCTAGGAGAGGGATTAGCCATTGTATATATAATCAAGTTCAGCAAAAGTTAAATGATCCAATTAAATTTTCTCTTAAAAGTTCAGTGACCAAATTTTTTCCCTAGTGTCACCTATACATGGATGGTAATCTCACAAGTGCATTTTTGATATCAATGTTCTTAAAATCGAATCGATCGTTCAAATAAGAAAAACCGTGAATCAGTACAAAACTGGTTCGATTAATGCCTAAAAACCGAATATTTGGCATTTTTGTTTTCCTATTAATTTTTGAAAATAAACTTCCTGGTTGTGCCCAAGTTTTAAAGCCTAAATATCATACCCATTTTAAAGTGACCAACACATTTTATAAATGGCTTCTCTAGTACTTTAATTCGAGGAAATCGATATGGGATTGGGAGAGAGTTGGTTTATTATCTTCTCCACTTATCAGTCAAGGTATCAGCGCAGTGGAGGATCCGGAAGTCTTTGCATTGTTTTAATTCATTACCTCTATTCACTGTGAATGATTTAACCTGGTTAGTTCAAGATTCAATTTTGCTTATTTTTCTTATTTATTTGCAGATCTTTTTTTAGTGTTTAATCCGAGGAAAAATCTAATCAAGTCCTGTGAAGTGAATTTCACAAAAAAAAAAAAAAATTCTGTGGAATTTTTTTGGTATTGTTGTGTTCTTAAGTTCTTATTTTGATATTGCTATTGATTATTTTGATTAAGTTGCACGATTTGGGGAATATCTCCGATGTGATTATATGGCATGTAGACAGCGGCGGACCCAGTACAAAAGTTCAACACGGATGGACCAATGTTGATCGTTAAGCATTAATCATCAACAATCAACGATCGTAAAAGTAAGGTCGCAATCAGCTTCCTGTAACTTCTCATCCCTACATGCATTAGAAAAATATTATATGTCAGTGTTTCCAACTTGCAACCAACCTCAATCATTTTCCTCATTGTCTCTACTGCATCCCCAACACAGCCATGCATATATCTACCTTCGATTATGCTATTATACACTTCAATGTTAACTTGGATGCCCCTTGATTCCATTTCCTTTAAAAGTTCACTAAGTTCCTCAAAACTCCCTTCTTTGCAAATCCCGTTTATTATAGCTGCATATGTCTCCACCATGGGCAAAAATCCCTTCAATTTCAACTCGTTGAGAAGCCCATGAGCTCTGTCAACATCCCCTCTCTTGCAATACCCGTCAATAAGAGTATTATAGAACACAATATTCGGAATGGCATTCCTTCCCCACCTTTTCTCAATTAACTTTTTACCTTCCTCAACCTTCCCTTCTTTACACAACCCTCTGACCATTATACAAACACTATTATCTACACAAATATTGTCAATAGACTCAATACCATCATCCCTCTTCACCATTTCCTCATATACATTTAGTGCAATTTCAATTTTCCCGTTCTTTACAAGCCCATTAAGTAAAGAATTACAAGCCAAAACATGGGGCACCACATTATACTTTTTCAACACAATTGAATACAACTCGAGAGCATTCTCAACCTGCCCAGATTCCGCATGGGCTTGGATAACAACATCTAACGCCTCACTCGTAGGCAACTTCCTTTCACATTTCACACACTCCGCCAACAAATTTCCATTCTCCGTAGACACTTGAGACCTAGCCAAGAGCTTCAAAAGCGAAGAATAGGCAAACCCATCAAGAGAAAAGCTTTTCTGCGACACCCAGTCGAAGATCTTGAGACCCAATTCATAGTCACAAATTTTGTCGAACACTAGGTGTACATTTTCTGAAGGAGCAATGTCCTTTCGAGTATTTTTAGTTCTCCCTCTTCCTTCCACTGAGCACTGTTCTGGCGGAGCCCAGCACGCGCAGCAGCGCCCCCTCACCGGGTGTTGGGCCCGCCGCTGCATGTAGAGAGGAGGATTAAAAAGAGGTTGGTTATTATTATATTGTTGGTGTTCTTAAGTTCTTATTTAGATTATATTGTTGTGCTCCTGGTTTCTTATTTTATTATTGCTATTGTCAAATTATTTTGACAAATTTATATATTAATTATTTTTTTTATTATCAACGGTTCGACCCGATTTAACCTTTCAATCCTTAACCCTTCAGCTTTTTCGAGTCTATGGCAGGATCGATTTTCAAAACATTGGTTGATATCGTCAAAGTACCAACTGTAGTTCCACATGGTTCAATAAACATTTAAATTGCAAAAAGAGCACAAATTTCAACACTATTTTTCACTCATCCATATGGTAAAACCAACATTTAAATCCTGGTAACATGTATGATTTACAAGCTACATAGATTTTTTGCCAGTAAAATTTTCAAAGATGTAACGGTGGAAAAGGCAAAATGTAGTTTCTCAATCAATTGAGATGGTATCCATTCATTTGTAACTGAAAAAGATCAACTTCCATTCTTGATTCTGCAGAGCAATTCCAGAATCAAAGCTCTCTCTTTGATGTTACTAATGTTAATCACATTTGATGTTTCTGTAAATCCTCCTAACGAACAAATTGGAGCCGAGATAGCCAACTGCGCCTAGAATTTGCAGGAAAATTATAAGAACATAGACAACACTATTAGTGGAATCAAACAACATTAGATCGTGGAAGAAGAGGAGAAGAATACTTACCACATAATATTCCGAGACCAGCACAGAACATCAAAGTGTAGCCAAAATAAAAGCTGGTCTGGAAGAAACCCGACATCTTAGTCTTCACGTGATAGTAATATATAGAATAGAAGTAGACGTAAAGTGCAGTGGAAGCAGCAGATAAGAATGAAGTCCATTGCCAATGATAGTTCTCAGCATTCAGCATGAAATATGTCCCCACTATAGTTACACAAATGGTGACAATGATCAAAATTACAAACACAAGTAGCATAAAGCCATATACATAGTACACCTGTCAAGAACAACAGTAAATGAGCTTTACTCACAAGTCGTAACTGAGAGTATAGTGTCAATTCTAGAAAGAACATTACCTTGTAATTCCAAAAGGAAGTGAACACAAAATACATTTCAATAAAAATGCTTCCGAAGGGAAGCAAGCCTCCCATGAGAGAGATAACAGTTGGCGTGAGATACCACTTCTTCTCAGGGATTGGACGTGGGATGGTCTTCACACGACAAGGATTGTCTGGAGTGCCGCTCCAATTTCTTCCAACAATAGTACCAAGAAGTGCCAAGGGTAAAGAAATAAAAGCCCATATGACAAGAACAACAACGATTGTACCGAAGGGAATAGCAGCTAGGGAGCCATAAAATATGGCGATTGTGTTTAAGATGAACCCAATAAGAAAGCACATTAAAGGGAAAAGTGATGCCGTGAGAATCATCGATTTTATCCAGCTTTTACCTGGCAAGACGAATTGGGAGAAGCATTATAATTATCATTTGGTCATACAAAATCAATCGTTTTTCCATGCTACAGATTATAAAGAACTGAAAGAAGGCCAAGATGCATGCAAGGGAGGGGAAGGGTGAGTTGAAGAAAGAAACATACCCCCACTGCGGGAATACATGCCACCACTAACATAACCGGCAATGAATGATGTAAGAGCATAACACACAATAAAGGTTGTGACAATTGCTCCTCTCCTGAGTCACACAACACCAAACAATGGAAGTTAAAGCAACTGAGATGAACTACCAGTTAAAAGAATAAATAAAAAAAGAAATCGAATAATTCCACAATATTTGTCTATAAATAGGAAATTTTATTTTAAAGTGTAAGTATAAGCCCGTGTTTGGTACCGATTAAAATTCAGATTTTAATCTAAGTCTAAGTCAAAGTCAAAAATCAATTTTAACCACATATTTCATAGGTCCCACAGCTTTTCGACCATAAATTTTAGGAACTTTTATCAAAATCTACTAAAAATCTAATTTTAATCCCTACCAAACAAGGGCTAAATCTATAGTTGGCCATCTTACCATTTAAATATTCTATTTAAATTTCTTTTATGATATCATAAAAATTAATTCTTTAAATTTTGGGAGCATTTTTTTTGGAAATAATCTTCTGAAGTAAAATCAATTTTCATAACATTGGGGCAGCACTTCTCTAGATCAATTCAACCACACCCAATAAAAACACTGATGTCGTAGTATAAACTACTCCTGAAGGCCAGAAAAAGTTTCTTACTGAATGAAATAAATAGAAATCAAGTTTGTTCTTCTTTTACATATGTTTTTTGTTTGATAGGTCATTGGTTATTTTGGCTTCATGCAAAACGAAGCTAAGCAAAAAAGCTTAGTTAACCCAAACTTATTTCATAAGCCAAGTACTCAGTGTAGAGGTGCACAGTGCATACAAGCAAAACATCCAGCTTTCACTTGACTTGTTTAAATAGCTTTTGTCAGAACAGAATTAGGGCTAACTGTGAAAGACTTGATTAGAAGAGTATGGAAAAAGGTTATCAAGTATATGAAAGGTGTTTGGTACATCTTACAGCCTACTAACCTAAGTTGCACGGACACGGACACGACACAACACTACATGCCAACACGTAATTTTCAAAAAAAGTAGGACAAGGCCGCATTGGAGACACTTCCATCTAATTCTGTAAAATTTTGAATTCATATATTATATCTTTATTTTTATAATTTTCAATATAGGATACAGCACATGGCCAAGAAACTTGCCCAGTGGGTATTTCTAAAGTATCCCTGGAGTGTCGATAATTTAAAAGACGTATAGAATAAATGGGACAAGGGCACATGACTTGTTGGATCCATGTGCTTGAGTGTTCGATGAGTGTCAGAACAGACATGTCTCCCTAACAGGAGTGTCCGTGCATCATAGATATGTCACATCACATACAGAGAGCTTCAGGCATACCCTATATACAGCATTCCAACAATTGCTAAAATAATGACGAGCAGAACCAGAGTTGCAAGCTGAGCGCCAGTGCCAACAACAGCTGAAAGTAGAGACAGATTTATGGGATGCCGAAACACATCACCATGGACAAGTTTCCAACCAGATTCTTCATTCACATCCCGTTCCTAAACAGGAGAAGTTCAAAAGTGAGCATGGTTTAAAAGATGTTATGTTCCACCATTAAAAGTGCCACTTTTAAGAGACCTGATGAATAATGAACTTGGTGGTATAAGCATATTAAGAATCAAGTTGCACGAAATATTTCGTCGAAAACAAAATCTCATGAATATTATATACGGCAAGACATACACAGAGTTCAAAAAAATTACCATTGTCTCCAGATCATCATCTTCCCGAGCATATTTAGCATAGTCATTCCGGAGGGTGCGCATTAAAATCATTGAAACCAAACCGGTAAGAAAGATCACCATCATGAAAGAATTAAAAACTGAGAACCAGTGAATCTGTACAACAAGAAATCTTCATTGAGCTGACTTGGAGAAATAATAATACGGATTTTGTTAACTATAGGTTGGGTATTAAGATCTTATATTCTCCAGTTTCTTTCTCTCTTTTTAATTATCTATTTTTCCCCCTTTATCAGCATCTTTAGAGAAAAAAATGACAGACATATGGAATGAAATATGGAAGTTATTCATTAACCTCCCTAGCATAAGATCAATTGGCATGTGAAAGCATAAATTCCTGTGAAAAATGGTAAAAATGAGTATGTACCTGGTGCTCAAAAAAGGGGTAGTCCAGATAAACATCAAAACGATGTGCAAACGTAATGTTAGTGGGAATCCATTTGACAGAATAAGTCATGTGCAACACTCTCCCCTCTTCAATTGGCTTAGGGTTTTCCTGAGTCAGATTGACATGGATAATCTGCAAGAGGAGATTTCAGTTAGCAACAAATGAAGATACCAATGCATAATTTCCAGAAATAATTGATACATACAAAATCTACCTGGTTCTTATTGTATTCAACGACAAGATTTTTATGTGTCCAAAGCACGTGCTTTGTATCATGATTTTTATCAGGAAGCACCTCACCAACAAAACCTTTAAACAAAGAATGAGCAGTTAAATCCTTAGTTGAATGTAAGCCAACAAGTCAAAATATCTATGAGTAGAAGAACATACCCCATAGTGGCAAATCATCTGATAAGCATGCCAAAATATACACAGAAAGAACACAGTTAGACAGGAGCAACAGAAGAATAAATGTAATGAACTTATCCTAAGAACTGATCCAGAATATTAATATCATTAGTCAACAATGTATAATCAACAATAACAAAGATCGTGAAGAATGTACCCATAAAAAATTCAAACCAGTATGAATTGTCAATTGCATCCTTAAACTGTTTAACCTTAGCTGCATCCAGTTCAAGTTCACATATAGTCGTCAATTTCACATCTCCTACCATTAGAAATAGCCAGATGTAAGGGATAAAGTTCTAGTGATGGAAATCTATTTAATTAATTGAGATGTATTTACACATTACTCTTGAACTTTATATCAATTTGGCTATCAATAAGTTCGTTTCCTCCAAGAACCTCGCCAAGGCCTCCCCACTTGTGAGCACCATTTCCAGGTGGATGACAAAATGAAAGGCTGTAGTAGTTGTAGGTCTCTTGGGGGTTGTTATACGGACCGACCTTGTTTACCCATAGTGTGATGGGATCATCTGCTTGATACTGGCACATAGAATGTAAAACGTATTGACAATAGGAAAGGCAGTACAAGATCAATTTTTACTGCATTAGACAGTCAAGAGACAATATGCACTTATTTGAAACTTGAGATCAAGCTGACTTTTGATGGTTCACAGAGAGCGAGAATCTCAATAATGTAGAAAATGTAAAAACTGTGTTTTGATACTCAGATCAATAAAAAAAGGAAAAATTACTCAACAATTGAAAAAATAGAACATGAAAGAAAAGACTAGCATACACCTATGAACAGGGGAGAATCCAGCACCTAGCGAGCCGGAGTGGCTGCCCGTGCTGGATCCGACGAGAAAAAAGATTTAAGAAATATTTTATATTAAATATATATAACTCTTAGTGCATAATTGTTAAATGATAGGCGGCGTAGCTCAAATGGTAGAGCACTCACTCTCCATGTGAGATGGACAGAGTTCAATTCCTTTCACATCCATTCTTTCTTTTAATGTTTTAACAAATAATAAATAAATAAAAACTGTACCAACTTTTAACCAAAAAAAGGTGTATCTTATATGGTGAAGTGCTTGCTTTGGATTTAAAAAACTTTAGGTTCGATTCCAATCACCTCCTCCCCTTCTTTTAATTTTTTTAACAAATTAAATTAAAACTAAACAATTATATATTATTAGTTTTCGTTTCCAAAATATCTTTTTTAAGAAATTTATTGACTCAA